CTCATTCCTGCAACCTCCAGCTACTTCCTTTTTTCATAAGAACACTTGAACATCTCAGAACAGCTTTGAGCTTTCAGGATAATATCAGTTCAGCAGCATGGGTTATTGTCCACACAGTGGTGTCAGAAGGTTCAGTACACATTTCAACCCCTTCCTAATGTTGCTTCTTACTGGTATTTCCACTTATTACCCATCCACTTCCTGAGGCAGGCAATCAGCAAAGATATTTATTCCTTGTTCACTGCCCTGCAGTTAATTTTAAAGTGGTGCTAAGGACTGGACCAACTACCTTCAGTTCCCACTACCATCTAGAATACCTTCTGTAATCTGGGTTTCTTTAGATGTGTCAGCCAATGCCAAGTATTATGGGAGTTAAAGGTCTATGTACTTGAGGATCCCTTCTTGGGAAAAGCCATCCCATAGCAAGAAGAATTGATGCATTATCTCACCTTATATAAATAACAATTTAGAAAGATCAAAGAAAGAATGATTTAGTTTCCTATCAGGGGGATTTGCTAGCCTGATGAAGTTAGTTTGCTAGCCTGATGAGGAGAGATACATGTAAACCATGTGATAGAGTGGAATTACAATGCTTGTGTAAGATTTACAAAAATTTCTGATGGGCATGATCCTAAGCATGCTTTGATAGAAACAAGGCCAATAATCCCCAACATGGTCCAGGCAGCCATACTGGATGGGTGCCATTATTACTTCTTTCTCTCTAAGCAAGCAGTTTTGGACTCTATGTAGAACACAGACTCATAAATAGTCAGAAGCAAATCTAAATTTCCATATCTTGGAATGAGTTGCCAGTGCGAAGGTGACGATGATGATTTGCTTTTATTTATTGCATTCAAATCATGGTGCTCGAGGACAACTTTGGGAATACCCTAGACACACCAAAAGACAAACAAGTGGGTCCTCAATTAATTCAAGCCAGAGCTCCAGAGCTTTCCCTAGAAGTAAAAATAACAAAGGTAAGGATATCAACCCCTTCATGGATCACTGTCTTGTCATGGCAAAGGGGCTTGTGTAGTTCAATGAAGCTATGAGCTATGCCATACAGGGGCACCCAAGATGGACAGGGCATAGCAGAGAGCTCTGACAAAAGTTGATCCAGTGGAGAAGGAAATGGCCACCCACCCCAATACTCTTGCCATGAAAACCCCAAGGACAGTACCAAAAGGCAAAACGATATGACACTGGAAGATGAGCCCCTCAGGTCAGAAGGTGTCCAATATACTAACACTTTAGCCACCTAATGAGAAGGAAGGACTCACTGGAGAAGACCCTAATGCTGGGAACAATTGACGACAAAAGAAGAAGGGGATGGCAGAGAAGGAGGTGGCTGGATGGAGTCACTGAAGCAGTCGGTGTGAGCTTAGCTGGACTCCAGGGGGATGGTGGAGGACAGGAAGGCCTGGTGGAATGTTGTCCATGGGGTCACGATGGGTCGAACACAACATCACAACTAGCAACAACAGCAAAGGCTATCATACTTTGGGTACATCATAGGAAGGTAAAACTCCCTGGAAAAGGCAATCATGTAGGGAAAGTCAGAGGCAGAAGAAGGAAATAAAGACCACATATGAGATGGATTGACTCCATGAAGGAAGCCGCAGCATGGAATTTAACACAACTGAACAGGGCTGTCATGGAAAGGACATTTTGGGGAGCTTTCAGTCATACGGTTGTCATAAATTGGAGATGACCTGATGAGACATAACAGCAACAACACTGTATTTATATCCCAACTTTTTTCTCTTGTGTGGAACCCTGTGAGGTAGGTTGGACTGAGTGAATGACTGGTCCAAAGTCATCCAGAGAGTTTCATGGCCAGGTGGGGACTAGAACCCATATCTCCCAGGTCCCCAGTCCAACATTGTCAGCACCCCACCACACTAGCTCTCATGGTGATGTCTCCACTACCTGAGTTGAATGTGCAGGTCTCGAGCATAATGGCATTTTTACCACTCAAAATCTCATTAAGATGATAGTCTAACTTTCTGTCAGTTTTCATTGCTGTCTACCTTGATTCTTATTGTTCATCTGGTATCTCTCTCTGCTAGGGAGTGAAACTGCATGAAAAAGTTGACAAATTAATCTCCAGGTTTATCCAGGCTACATTACTACAACCAATTTCAACCCTCTTTTGTTAGTCATTTCCAGGGTATTGCCATAAGATACTCTTCATGACCTTTCCCACCTGATTAAACTTGTGATTCCACACAATGGCACTTCCATTCATGCTGAAGCCATTCTCTGCATTAGCCTGGGGGTCCATCCTTCCAACTTGTATTCTCTGGAATGATTCATTAGGGAATGTAACCAAGTTGATGAGATCATATCCCCCTACTATGTCCCCATGATCATCAAAAAAAAATTCTTCACCAGCACTATTGTTAAATCGGATGGTTTGCAGAAACCAGTGGAGCTAAAATGGAAGCATATGTTTAATTGCATTTTTTTAGAAATAAATCCAAACCATTGATGTCTCTTTGGGGAAGACAGGTGACGTTTAGACCTTCAATACACATTAGCAACTCCCTCACACAAGCCATGTATCACTCACAAGAGAACCAAACATCTGAAGGATTGGGTGGCACGTAGCAACACAAGTGAAGCAAAGGAAAAAATGAAAGTTGCACCAAAGACTTATTTTTAAACTCCTGTGCAGAATTGGCAAAAAGTGTGAGCATTCCTGTGATAATGCAAGGCTACTTTCCAAATGACTTACTCTTATTATTATTTTTCCATCCTTTCCCTTCTAAGGACATCAAGGTGCCTTATATAATTCTCCTCCTCCTCTCCATCTTATCCTCACAAGAACCCTGTGAGTTAGGTTGGGCTGGGACACTGTGACTGGCCCAAAGTCACCCAGCGAGCTCCATGGCTGAACAGGGACTAGAACCCAGATCTCCTGAGTCCCAGTCCCACACTCTGAACCACTACACTGCACTGACTTTTTCAAACAATAGTGAAAATAGTTGTGCCAATGTGTATCAAAGGTCATATTTTTGATTATGTTAACAAATCATACTGGGCTGATGCAGCCTTGGTTGAAACATGATTCAGATTGTCTTACAAACCATGAATATGCTATGTAATAACAGTGTGACTATTTTAAGTGTGGTTTCTTGAGTTGGTAAGACATTGGTTTTTATCTTTTATGTATCATTCTTATTGTGAACTAACAGTAATGTTTCATCCTTTTCATCTATTGTTGAATGGAGCTGAGTGATTTTTTGTCCATATAAAAGTAATAGGAACTAATTATATTCTCTTTTTCCCTATAGATTTTAACATATATGGAACTATAGAAGATTTTAAAGGTAAATTTACCAATGTGTTCATTGAAAAACTAGTTTCCTGTTTCTGTTCTACTTTTGGTTCATTCTCCATGGGAATTTATACTGCTTGTTGACATAATTCAGTTATTAGAAACTACCTGCCATGGCTGAAGTTCCCAGAGGTTCCACCTTCCTGAATTTTGCACTGCTTTCTGTTTGGATGAAACCAATGCATGGAGAGCATGTGCAATGGCATAGACAGCATTATAGATGATGTAGCTCCGGCCAGACATCTGCATCTCAAACACAGACCCAGGCAGGCTCTCCAGTTTCTCCTTCCCAGAGCAGTTGCCCTGGTTTGGCACATGGAGGTTATACATAGGCAAGGAACAGAGAAATACACTGAGCCAAAATTGATGGATGAAGTAGAAAGTAGACTGGAAAGGACTGATTGTCTCAATGAACTCCTGAAATCCAGGCACCACATTTGTATGCAGTGTAAAAGACAGTGTACCATTGAACGATTTAGCAGTAAATTTTCTGACAGCTTCTACAGCTGTGAAATCCCATTCAGCTGTTGTGATCCACACTTTCTGTACAGGATTCATATAACCAATTTCTTCAGAGTATAAAACTATTTGTAAAGCCTCCAAAGACTGTTTGTCTCCATAAACAAGAATCACATTGATTTCAGTCACTGAAAGGGTTATTTTAATGGGTTTCAATTTCTCCAGAAAGTTTTCAAATGCTGTCACTAGTGGGATCTTCTGTGTCCAGGCAAGGCAAATGCTTTTGCACAAGAGCCTTGGTCCCAGGGTTTGCAGGAACCTTTCTCCATTGTCATCATTGGAAACCATCAGGCCAATCCAATTCCATCCAAAATATTGCAAGAGTTCAACAATCCCAGCATGCTGAGGATCTTCATTTGGAACTAGTGCATAGAAAGATGGGAACTGAGATTTGTCCTTCAGCCTTGGATCAAATGAACCATAGCTGAGCTAATTAGGGGGGAAAAAAACACTTTTTCAAGATTGAGAATTAGTTCACTGTTGTTTACCAGTATTGACACCATACAAACATCTACCAAGGTTAACATTTTGATCCCATTTAATATTAGCTTGTAACTTGCATTTTGATCTCTAACTGCCCAGTCTTGCATTTTCTAGCAAACTCATCATTCATTCATTCATTCATTCATTAGATTAATATTCCACCTTTTTCTTTTAAAGAACTCAAAGTAGCCTACATCATTCTCCTCCTCCTGTGTTCAGTCTTATCCTTACAATGACACCCCTGTGAGGTAGGTTGGGCTGAGAGTCTTTGACTGGCCCAGAGACACCCAGTTGGCTCCATGGCCAAGCAGGGACCAGAACCCAGGTTGCCAAGTCCCCATCCCATGCTCTTAACCACTACACCACAGTGAATCTCATTTAGCATTATCAATAGACTGAGAGCAGGTTAGGATGTGGAAGAAAATGTGATTCTCAGGTTTTAGAGACTTGTACTACTAAATATGGGATGCAGCTGGCACAGTGGTTTAAACTTTAGTGGTTACTACTAAATGCAGTGTTTGGAATATTTGGATTCTTATTCCAGCAATTGTATAGGTACATAATGACAATGCACTCAAACAGAGTGAACAAAGACTTGCACTCTTGCTCCCCAAGTGGACCAGTTCTCAGTGTTGATTTGCTAATTCTAAACACATACCTGTGGGTACCTGTAAGTATTCAAGATGTTGGCCATCTGCATGGAGTTTTGAGAAGTGAGATCACCAATGATAGCTTTTGGGTTCCCCTCCCTGGCACAGTCGTAGTTGACATGATTCCTTTGTCCTTTGAAGAGAATATCTAAGGTGGCCCAAGAACTTCGTCTTGAATTAAAAGCATTGTCATAAATTTTGTGTCGCAGTGTGATGTTGGGTAACAGTTCAGCATTCCTGTTGATCTCATTAATGGCAAAAATGAAGGCAAGGACAAACTGGTAGTTTTTAGGGATCAAGCTGCAATGAGATTGTCATACAGTTTCAAATCAAGTACGGCACAGTTTGCATTATGATCTGCCCATCTCCCTAAACAGAAACTTGCCATGAATACTATGGAAAAAATATTGATCATGCTAATGAGAGATGGATTGTCTGCTACAAGAAAATGTTTGTAAATAATAAAGCCAAAGAGATCTGGAGTTGTGCAGGGTCAATGCTAGGAGTGTGCAATGTGGTACACACATGCACCAATGTACCATAGCAATGCCAAGATACCTGAATCCTCCAACGTTTGATTTCAAACTATATTTCTACTTTCTGAGTGGCCGCTGAGATTCACTCAAAGCGAAATTGGAGCTTTTGCCTACTGCCCTTGGATTTTCGCATGAATTCTTCTAGGCAGGATACTTTTCTTCTGTGGCACACCATGTTCACCCACGGTAGCCATTTTAAATAAGGTTATGCCCAGGCAAGTTGCTCAAATTTTGCAATGTGCCATGGGTTCAAACAGTTGGCATCCCAGGGTCTGTATTATTGGGTCTTGATGAGGGAAACAAAAACAAAACTCTCTCATGTTCACTAAAATCTGACTTTCACTAAAGTTGGAACTCCATACCTCAGTTATCTCAGAATAACTGCTCCTGGGAGATCAATCCAGTCAATCGTAAAGGAAATCAATCCTGACTGCTCTTTTGAAGGCCAGATACTGAAGATGAAACTCAAATACTTTGGCCATCTAATCAGAAGGAACAACTCACTGGAGTAGACCCTGATGCTGGGAATGACTGATGGCAAAAGGAGGAGTGCAGAGGATGAGGTGGCTAGAAGGAGTCACTGGGGCCGTGGGTGTGGAACTGGGTGGACTCTGAGGGATGGTGGAGGACAGAAGAGCCTGGAGGAATGTTATCCATGGGGTCGTGATGGGTTGGGCACGACTTGGTGACTAAACAACAAACAACTGCCCCTGAGCATGTTATGGTTTACCTGGGAATTAAAATTTATGAAGACCATATGATTTTTGTTAAGATATATCATTTCCTAATGTTATTCATTTGTTTGTGAAGAAAATTTTGTGCCACTTTATTCCAGATTCAGCATCAAATACTAAGGAATTTTCACCCTCATTCCATAGAGGATAAGGAGTCCAAAGAATGTTGTCTTCTTCTTACAACCTACTGATCCTGATGGAGGATCCACTTCCTCCATCTTTTTTCTCACCAAACCTGCACTAATGAGAGAACGACAGAAGAGCTATGCAATGTTGTTCATGCTGCAGTGGTCAGAGCCTTGCGTCTGGAAAAGCACCCTAATTTAGAACCTGGTTGCATCTATAATTCTGCAGAGAATGTTATTTGTTGATTGATTGATTGATTGATTGATTGATTGAAAGTTTTTATCAACCATTCTTAAGTGAAAGAGAAAATGATAAAGCATTGTGTATGGTTCTCTTATTTCCCTTTTCCTTTCAAGAGTTTTCTTTTAATTTCTTTGGGTGCTAAAGAATTTGCATATTAATACCACCTATGGGGGCCGTTTTTACATTGTTTGAATAGTTTATGTCTGTTGATGTTGGGGGGTTTTTTAACCATGACAATTCTATCAGACAGGAATGATAAAGATTAACATAAAAAACTATTAAATATTTCATACCTAGGTCTCTAGATGTCCATCTATATATGTAAAATCTACAGCAAGTCAAACCATACCTCTAGAGCAGAAAAGTACCCTCTTTTTTTTTTTTTTTTTTTTTTTGGTATCTTCAGCTATAACTGATGAGCACTTGAGAAGTCTACAAAAAAAAGATGCATATCCTTCACAGTCAGATTTAATCTTAGCCTCCTGGTGACTTTGTTTATTCTTGGTAATGCTTTATCTATTCTGAATATACACCATAAAAGCTAAGAATGATCACTGTACCCAGTTCAAAATTACTTCATAAGAGGCAGAAAGGGGGAGGGGAGGGAGGGAGAGAACTTACTATGCCTTTAGTGCAGAAGAATCTGGATATAACATAAAATCTGGTGGAATTATGTAAGCAAGGGTCATGGACACAAATTCACCAATGATGACCTCTTCTGAAAGAGTGCATGCATTCATGCAGAATTCATGACTACATGTTGAATATAGTATCCGTATCCCAAGCAGAATAAGACAGAGTGCCCAGAAATCTTGCGGCACTCCCCAGATGGACCTCTTCATGATCACTGACTATCACCAGCAACATCACCAGTCTTGGAGGAAGTTACAGAAATGTTTGGACTGTCAGAGCTGTAGCCTTCTTATCTTCCAGGTTAGACTGGGCATGGAATTCAGCTTCACATCACAGTAGAAGTGGGCTATTCTTGGCATTGATCTTGTACTTCGATGCCTATGATCACTCCAGAGGGTCCCAAAAGGAGTAGTACTGATGGTGGCAATATTAATGATTAAAGGACAAATTGTCTGTTTTGTCAAAGTCCTGAAGTCTCAGCACATTTTCTTGATTTCCTCTTACAAGCTCTATGCTCCAGCTTCCAAAGGTAAAATTATTTACTGAACAATCTTGGACTTCTTGAGAGATTTCATCTATGTCTCTGAACAGCTTTGGATTGTCATGGGACCCTTTGACCTGGAGATGCTATAACTGAATTGAGTCATTCATATTGCTAAGCTAGTCACTTCAGTAGACAATTATTGCACCAGCCCAGACAAAGTCTCCTTTCCAGCAGCTCCTAGATATGTTCCCACAAACATCATTCTCACCTCTTCCCAAAGAGACATTCCATGACAAAATATGTCTACATGTTTTGAAAATCAGGTCCATGTGATACAACCAGAAATGCTAGTGTGAAGGCCAAGTCCCCAAGAGAAGCCCCTTCTAATCTGTTCCATATATGACCATTCTATGGATGTCCAGCCTGAAATATTATTTCAGCAAGTCAAGACTAAAGTGGCAAGACGTCAACTCATCTGTTTAAAATTTTATTTAGGATTGTATAGTAGGGGTTGTGATATATCAAAGCAAGATAGACCCTCTTTTCTAAAAGTTGTTTTTTCTTTGGCTGGTAAAGCACCATCCCCTCCTGCTCCAGAAGAGATGACTGGAGGAGGAGGGGATGCCTGACCCAAGTGATGAAAAGCAGTACTAGAAGACAGGGAAGCCTAAGTTCAGTAAAAAAAAACAAAAAAACAAAAAAAGGAAAGTGAAACAATTCCATTTCTCTGCTACCTACTCTCTTTCTCTCAAAATACCATTCCCAGTGCTGATGACATTACTCCCCCAGCCCATCCACCACAAAAAAAGAAATTGCTATTCTTTTTTCCTGACTAACTGTTCCCGGGTGTTCAGCTCAGGTCTCAGCATAATAATGTACAACTTAGGCAGAAAGATGCAACCCAGTAAGCCAGCACCAGAGGCCAAGATGGAGAAGACCTCCACAGCCACCATGTATTTGCCCTTGGTGCTCAGGTAGGTGGGCACAAAGGACACCCACACACTGCAGAAGACCAGCATGCTGAAGGTGATCAGCTTGGCTTCATTGAAGGTATCGGGCAACTTCCTGGCAAGGAAAGCCATGGTGAAGCTAATGAGGGCCAAAACCCCTATGTAGCCCAGGACTATGAAGAACATGAGGTCCAAGCCTTCATTGCATTGAACTAAGATTGTGTCAACCAGGGAGTGTATGTCCAACTCTGGGAAGGGGGGAGAAGTTGTCAGCCACACTGCACAGATTATAGCTTGTATCATAGAACAAAAAATGATGACTGACCCTGCTAATCTCCTCCCCACCCATTTCCTCATGCTGTTTCCAGGCTTCGTGGCCATGAAGGCCAACACCACCGTGATGGTCTTTGCTAACACACAGGATACAGCAATGGAGAAGATGATGCCAAACACGGTTTGTCTCAGAAGGCAGGTCACCTTCCCAGGCCTCCCAATGAACAAGAAGGAGCAGAGAAAACATAGAAGTAAAGAAGAAAGTAGGGCACATGTGATGCCCCAGTTGTTGGCTTTGACGATGGGAGTGTTGTGATGCTGAAGGAAGACACCCATCACTGCAACACTGATCACACAAAGGGAAAGAGCCAAGGAAGACAGAAGGGCTCCCAAGTGCTCCTCATAGGATAAGTAATTTATAATTTTAGGAATGCATTGGTCCTTATCCTTGTTTGGATACTTCTCTTCTGGGCACTTCTTACATTGTTCTGCATCTGAAAGTAAGAAGCAAAGAGATTTCCAGAGATCAGACACAGAAGAGCTTTCTTGGAATTCAATATTAGAGCAAGCAAATATATTATGCAGCTTCTGCTTTTTTCCCAAGAGCTTCTGCTCCTCTTGGGTCATCCTACGTATAAGGAGACATATACTTGCTTTTAGGCAGAACTGATAGGACTTCTATTAAACCTGAATGTAAAACTTCTGGAAAAGATCCAAGGACTCCTTTCCTTACCCATCTGGTTTGAAATCCTCCCTTGGGCACATTCAATGCAATCATAGCAACACACTTGCTTCCCCTGCTGGATGAACATGCTCTGTCCAGGGCGGCAGCTCTCAACGCAGGTGAAATGGGGCACCACCTAGTGGCAATCAAGGAGGAACGTGTCAGCTAATATGACTCTTACAAAACTTTGGAAGTGTTCTTTGGCTATCAGAAAGGACAGGTTCAGGATGGGAACCCAGCGAGTTCTTTATTATTAGTTAAAAGAATGTGAAGCACCTTACTCACAAAGCAACTGTATCAGCAGCAACAACCAGAGCGCCTCTGTTTCTCCAGCCCCTTTCCTAATATTCACTCTCACCTCACTACAGTATAGTTGGAATATGATTTTGCTTGCAGAAATAAGGTAGCCACCCGCCCTCTCCTTTAATTCTCAACATCTCCACAGAAGTGAACGTCATTGAGGGTCAGCCTTTTGCAAAACAATTTCCAAATGCCTCAGCATGGATCTAATCCTAATGAGAGATACGTTAAAAGAATAAAAGCAGGACAGCTAGATTTGAGATCAGCTCAGATCTGAAGATCAATGTTGGTGCTTCTTTATCCATATGTATCAAAAGTACATGAACTTTCAAAAATGATTAACAGTAACAAAGCTGATCATTGCCAAGAACTGGAAAAATGCAGACATTAGCATGCATAAAGCATGAAGTAGCACAATTGTTTAAGCCAGGGGCCTCAAACTCGCAGCCCGTGGGCCAATTGCCGGGATGGGCGGGGCACGGGGGAGGGGCCCTGTGGCCTTCAAAGCGCCAGCGGCGCCCAGGCCAGCCTCCAGGAGCGACACGGGATGAGCGGCCCACCACCACCGTGGTGGTGGAATACTTGATGTGGCCCAGCCTCACCCAGACTCTACTTCCAGCGGCCCCCATGTTAGTTGAGTTTGAGACCCCTGGTTTAAGCAATCAGTGAAATAAAGAGGTGGTAGCCATTAGAATCCAAAATTTGTATGGTACAATAATGTCGAGTCATTTTATTGATTATTGAAGTACAACTCCACAGTACTCAATGCAGCTTCTCTTCACAGTGAAGCCCTTGTCTAAGCACCCCTTATTCTGAGGATTGGAGGATGGCAACAAGAGAGAAAGCTTTTTCAGTGGTCACCTCCATGCCCTGGGATAGTCTTCAAAGGAAAGCTTGTTTAATGTCCATATTTAAATTTGTGACCTGTCTAGGGACACTTATGGCTTATGGGGTGGGATGAAAATCAAATAAAGAAACAATAAAATAAATTGCTAACTTTTCAGCTAAGCCTGCTTTGTTCTCTCAAGCATGTTAAGACTTTTAGTATTTTTCCAGTTAAATTCCCATTAGCTTCTTTTCCACAAGCCAGTTTTTCCTTTTATGTAATATTAATTTTGGGTTTGCATGCATTGCAGAGTTCATTGGTTTTATCTTGCTGTGTTCTTTTTAAACTGGGATTCTATCTATTTACTTGTGTTATTACTTTTGAAAAAAATCTTATTTATTATTCTTTTAGGAAAACAAGCAATGACAGCAATAAGCATCACCACAGCAACTGGGCATGTCCTGCATATATTGATTAAGCATCAAACATTCTACCAGTATCTGGAATGAGTATTAAATGTAACACCGATGATGATGATGATGATGATTTCTACCTGGCTAAACTTGTGATTCCACACAATGCAACTTCCATTCATGGTGAGCACTTCCTCTGGACTAGCCTCAGGCGCCATCTTTCCAACTTGAACCTTCTGGAAGGATTCATTCGAAAAGGTAACCAAGTTGATGAGATCATAGGTTCCTGCTAGATCCCCAGCAATGTCAAAGAATATTTCTTCCCCAGCACTATTATTAAATTGGATACTTCTCAGAAAAGAATGAAGCTATATCAGTGATGAAAACCATTTTCAGTATATGATAGATGTATTTATTAACATAATTTAACAGCCACCTTTCATCTATACAAATATCAAGGGGGCTAGGCATTATGAAATGCGTAGTGTTATTTGTATGAAATTTGCAAAGTTGTGACTTTTAGGGTACTTCCAGTTGACATTTTTATCATGCAATCACTGCTTCATTCATAGGATTTTGCAGGAATTCCAGATTATGCTGCCTTTGCTTTGGAACTCTCCTATGTCTTCTACAACTTTCCTCATCTTTTTTTTCTTCTCCTCTTTTCCTCTCTTAATTGAAGCAAGATGGAGTAGCTGCAGAGCATCTTGGACTGCTAATTCTTAGAGTCTTCAAACTGAAAGTATGCTTAGGGTACAATGTTATATAGGCAGTCCTTGACTTACAAACATCTGAGTTATGAACAACCCATACTTATGGACAACCTGCCATAAATTCTATTAATTTAAAAAATGCTGTGGAAAATCATGATACCCATAGAGAGAGAGGAAGTGAAAGGAGAGGGAGGGAGGGCCTCCAAAGTATGCATTCCTGCTCTGTCCATCTGGAGAGGGAAAGCTCTCCAGAATTTCCTTGCTGCAAAGAGGAGGCACTGGTGACTTTGGGTGCACAGGAAGGCTAGAGATATTGGCTGTTTTTTTCATTTTCATGGCGGGGCTGCACATTGAACCCCCACAAATGTGGGGGTTCAACTATGCATGATCTGACTTACATGGAAATTCAACTTAGAGATGCATTACTATTTTCCTAGGAATTGAAACCTTTTGTAACCTGGAGATTGAATGTACCTGGTTAGACAGGGGAAAAAATCTACAACTCCCAGAATTCCCCAGTCAGCTATGTTCCTGAGGTATGGCAAGATCTCCCCTTCTGTCATGGCCTTGGGAAGGGGATGAGATCTTCCCATACAGTGCCTTGAAATGTGGGTTGCTAAACAGACTCTTCTTCCTTCTGTGATTGATTAAGCAATGGATTTTCTTTTTTTCTTTCTTTTAATAGTACCATATTAACTTATGAAGTTTTATAAAGACAGAGATGATTACCTGCCATGGCTCAAATCTCTGGAGGCCCCATCTGTCCCCATCTCTTGATTTCTGCTTGGATCTCAATGTAGACATAGCATGGAGGGCATGTGCAATGGCATAGACAGCATTGTAGATGTTGTAGCTCTGGCCAGTCATTCCCATTTCAAACACAGTTCCAGGAACGCTCCCCAGCTTCTCCTCCCCAGTACAGTTTTCTTTTCTTGGCAAATAAAGCTTAAATGTTGGGAGTGAGCAGAGAAACGCTGTGACCCAGAACTGCTGGATGAGATAAATATCTGAATGATGTGGATTTATGCTGTCAAGGAAATCCAGAAATCCTGGCACAACATTGGTATGGAGACTGAATGACAAGGTGCCATTCAAGGATTTTGTACTGAATTTGTCCCCAGCCACTACAGAAGTACAATCCCATTCTGCTGTTGTGATCCACACTCTTTCTACGGGATTTTTATAAACCATTTCACTGACAAACAGAAATAATCTTAAACCCTCCAAAGACTGATGGTCTCCATAGACAAGAATCACTTGGATTTCATTCCGTAAGAGGGTCAATTGAACTGGCCCCAATTTTTTTTGAAGTATTTCTTTAGGTAAAAAGCGTGTCACTATTGGAATCATCAGTGACCAGGCAATGCAAATCTTACTCTGCAGAAGCCTTGGTCTCAGGCTTCTAAGGAAGGTTTGTCCGCTATCATCATCTGAAACAATGAGGCCAATCCAGTTCCATCCAAAATACTTGAGGAGCTGAATGATCCCAGCATACTGCAGGTCTTCATTTGGGACCATCCGATAGAAAGAAGGGAACTGTGTTTTGTCTCTCAGTACAGGGTCAAAGGAGCCATAGTTGAGCTAATAAGAAAGATATCATCTCCTTGTTATCAAAATATGGGGAAACTAGTTCTTCCTTCTCAAACATGTACCGACTCTATACAAAGATTTGCCAGTGTGAAAATCTTGATCTCATTGAATAGCACTTTACAGCAGAAGCAAGATGGAGTGTTAGAAACCACAGTACTTCCTACCAAACTTATTTATTATAAGGAATATTAATATTATGTAACATATGGGCTGGATGTAAAAGAAGCTGGATTTTTGAAGTTTGTATTTCTGCCATATATTATCCACAACTTCGGTTCCTATACCAACTTACCTGGGAGTAATTCTCAACAAATGCTGGGTATATTTAGATAGGGCTGCACTCTTGTGCTGAGCAAACCCCATACATTCCATAATGGAAGTTTGCCAGCGGTCTGGCTAGATCTTTTTACACTATGCTGTTTTGATGTGGGACACTAGTAGATACAACCACTTTCTCTATAGTTGCATTGATCTAATGCCAAACACATACCTGTGGGATCTTGTAGGTATTTAAAACTACAGCCATCTGGATGGAGTTTGGTGAGGTGAGACCACCAATAACAGCCATTAACTTATCTTTCCTGACACAGTTGTAATTGGGAGGATCCCTTCTCATTGTAAAGAGAAGATCCAGAGTGTTCACACAGGCTTTCCTCGAATTAAAAGCATTGTCATAAATCTTGGATCCCAGCGTAGTGTTGGGCAACAATTCAGCATCCTTGTTGATCTCGTGAATGGCAAAAACAAAGGCAAGGACATGCTGGAAGTTTTTACGGATCATGCTGCAAAGACACTGGAGCGTTATGTTAAATCTTGATTTGAGAGGTCTAATTGCATTACAGCTTGCATTTCATTTGCACATCTAAGTAGGTGGGAAGTTATCATGCATGGTATAGAGAAATGTTCCTTGTAATTTTTTTCTGAAGACAGTTTTGGGATTGCAAAGACCCCAAAACCAATTCCCTATACATCTGCTCTTGCCCAGCTATGTGTAAACTCTGTCCACCACGGTGTGATTTACTTGTCAGTAAGCAGGAACAAGATGCCTTGCCATTATTCACATGTAAGACACTGTCATACCAGTGGAGCAAGTATGCCACTTAATATTCTGATGGATTGCTAATGGTTAAAACCATGAACCGTGGTAACCATGAAGGATTGCTTCTCCTAACCTGTGAACCCACCCAATCTGTCTTTTAGAATGACAGAAGAAATATCCTGATGAGTGGATTCAGGATTGCACCCCAATGTCAAACTCTGATGGCTTCAATGGAACCAACTGCAAAAAACCCTTTCATTAATCAAATTCAGGACAGATTTTTTTGAAAAAAAGACAAGACTAATCTTGAGTTGAAGATGTGCATGTCCATTTCTGGACATCAGAGCTTTCTGATGGGTAGCATGGTGGAAAATTAGTCTGAATGTACTGCATCCAGGCTGAGAAAACAATGGATAGTGAAGAAAGAAAGGGGGTAATTTATTAGCCGAGTAATTTATTTTACTCAACTAATATTAATCATTGAGCCTAGCAAAGAGCTCCTCAAAAGAAGAGAAAAAGAGGAAACTTACGTAGCTTTCACTGAAGAGACATCTGGCTCTTTCATAAACTCTGGTTCCTCAAATCTGACAAGTGAAATGGATACAAATTCACCAATGATTACCATATCTGAAGGCCTATTAGAATGACTTGAAACTGTTGTCCTCCTATTGCATAAGGAGGAATTCAAACTCTTGGTGAAAAAATACTTGAGCAAGAGCAGAAGAAAAATCATATGGAATGCTAAAAAATTTGGGATCACAGATTTGAATTGGCAGAGCTATGCTTCCCACAAATTCACCCAGATGGGGTGGAGCATGCTGCTAGCCTGGGAGACTTTATACATCCTCTTTAAAATGGGCTGTTTTTCTCCTACAGTTTGCAGCCCGCATCTACCTGCCCATGGGACTTCCAGAACAGCACTATCGATCATGATAATTTCAGTGGTTGCAAGGCTGATAATCTGGTATCCTGAAATTTTCAGTGTAATTAAAGAAACTTTGCTGATAATACCCTCCATCCCGCTATATCTTGGGACAATGCCACTAGACAGGAAAGTGTCTTGGGCTGAAGCAGCCCCTTGGAAACTTGGCCTAACTTTCTGAATAGATAACATCTGGTGTGGAACTAGTGGAAACAAGAAGTTCGTGGCTGTGCAGTCCAGTCTACATCCCAGATACAAATTCATCCAAAGCTACTTTCTGTTGAGTCAGACCATCAGTCCATCTAGCCCCAGAATGTTTTCTCTGACTAGCAAAGCCATTCCCAAAGACCTCTATGCCATGCAAATACATTTCATTCCATATATTCCATTTCTACTTGGACCTTCTACTGAAGGTCTTTGTGTGAGTTACTAGGATTAAAAACCCTTTGAGGTGTAGTATTTGACCCATATAGAAACGAAAATACAATGCAAGAAGGAACACACATGCACAGTATCTTGAAAACAATTTTGAACAATCTGAAACGACAAGACACCAAGGTCTGATGAAAAATCCCAGCATAAGCTGCTGAATGTTTGAGAGGAGAAGGCAGAGAAATGGGCCGCGTGAGGATCTGGCTTCATACCATCCACAGGAACTTCCTGAACAAAAGATATGGAGACCCTGAAAGTCTCTTTTGCCCCTGATCCCAGGGAAGACAGTAGCTTTTGACTCAAATGTGTTCCCCCTCATGTTGCCCTGTCACTTGACTCTTTCTACATGAGGTTTTTTCCTGATGCCAAATGCTCTCCTCTCTCCTCTCCACACACTCATTTTAACACAAATGGGCATTCTTCTTGTGTTGCATCAAGTAATCTCCAGTGACCCTATGAATGATAGCCCCCGCAAAATGTCCTATCCGTGACTGCCCTGCTCAGCTCTTTTGAATTCAGGGCTGTGGCTGTCGTGCGCATGCACCCTGACAAGATTCCCAGGAGTGCATGAGAAAGAGCCTGTTTTGGTGGGACTGATAGCTCAGAGGGTGATGAGAAGCTGAGTGAAGCAGATGAGGCTCAGAGCACAGACTCTGATAATGGAATTGTTGCAACAGAGAAACCTGCATCTGCAGACTCCCTCCTGCAGTACCAGTCTGAGCGTGCTTTGGATGCTCAAGTAGCTCAAGGACACCCATGGGGCCCATACTCCCTCCCACCTGTGGGAATGAAGCAGAAGAATTGGAGGAAGGAGATTTGGAAATGGGTAGTCTCTCAAATGGAGAACACCAGCCTACTGAAGACATGGACCTGAGGGCAGGCCCAATTAGGGGTTCAGAACGCAGAACACAGGTGTGCCCAGTCAGAGGCAGGCCCTGAAGGGTAAAGGTTTGGGGAAAGGGGGGCAGAGGGGGTTCAACATCTCTTTGTGTATGCTCAGAGGTTTGTGTATGCTTAGAGTCTTCAATGTAGAATCAAGACACCTACAAGAAGTGCTGGAGAGTCTGTCTTGCTTGGGAGGGGATGCCTAGCTCACAACACCAGCTTTCCTGATGGAGTCAATCCATCTCATATTTGGTTATCCTTTTCTTCTTCTGCCTTCAACTTTCCCCAGTATGATGGTCTTCTCTAGTCACTTTTGCCTTCTCGTGAGGTGCCCATAGTATGACAGCCCCAGATTTGTCATTCTGGGGTGAAGGATCTTCATCTGACCAGAGGCTCCTTGGATTCCTCCAGGGATTGGGGCTTGACCACATGTCCCACCCTGGAGGAAATCGAGCTGTTATCTCTAATCTCAGATCAGAGGTTCACCAGGAATGTTTTGATAATACTTGAACTATAATTCCAGCATAATTCCTGTGGAAAGCCATTGGGTACAGATAGCTATTTGCTTCTTTTATATATGTTTTCTGTACAGGGCAACATGAATGTCTGAATTCTGCAGGAGTGCAGGAAAAGCAGCGGATGTTACTGTAGGAACACCATACACTATGATGAATCCTGTAACACACATTGCTCATTTTCCCACAACCATTTGCACAGGGGCATCTTCTCCCTAGGGAGGTGTGAGGAATCAATTTGGGGTGAGAATCCCTCAGATTCCCTGGGCTCAGCTCCCGGGACTCCAGTCGACTCTGCAGTAACCCTCAGTCTGAGCTCCTGGCATGCACAGTACTGAACCAGTGCCTGGCTGACATAATGGACTGGATGAGGGCCAATAAATTGAGCATCAGTCCAGATAAGACAGAAGTCCTGTTGGTGGGTGGATCAAGGTTTCGGGAAAGCAATTTTGACTTTGTCCTGGATGGGGTAGCACTTCCTCTAAAAGACAGGGTCCGCAGCTTGGGAGTACTCCTTGAACCAAAGCAGTCACTGGAAACCCAGGTGGCAGCAGTGGCATGGAGTGCTTTCCTGCAGCTTCTGTTGGTCCACCATCTGCATCCTTACCTGGGCAAACACTGCCTAGCAATGGTGATTCATGCTCTGGTAACCTCCTAGTTGGATTACTGTAACACGCTCTTTATGGGAATTCCCTTGAAAATGGTCCAGATACTTCAGCTGGTACAGAATAGAGTGGCCAGGATGCTGATGGGGACCGGTCATTATCCTCATATAATGCCAGTCCTCTACCAGGTCCAATAGCTTCCAGTTGAACTCTGGGCCCAATTCATGTGCTGGTTTTGACCTATAAAGCCCTGAACAGGCTGGGACGAAGATACCTGAAGGAACGTCTCCTCCCTTATATGCCCTCACACCCCTTAAGATCAGCGAGAGAGACCCTGCTTTGAGAACCCTCCTTGACAGAGGTAAAAAGGACATCTACTCAGAGTAGGGCCTTCTCTGCAGTGAGGGACATTGGGACAATTGTTTAAATGGCCTCATTAAATAGCAAAGTGCATCTAGCCTCAACCTACACTGCTCTTTATCACTAATTAAACCATACATAATTTGGAATTAGACTAGTTCACAGATCCCATTCTCCCCCATGACTCCACCTAAGTTTTAATGGACTGCCATTCCTCATATGGACATTACTTCCCCTCTACATCCTGGGGATTCTTTTTCTTTACTAATTGCTCTCTAGTGTTCATGTCAGGTCTCAGAAGA